ACAGGGGCAGACCATAGTCTGGTCAAAAGGATATAGGGAATAATCTCAGCTTTCTGTAGCAAAAGAGCGACAAGATGGGTGAGATATTGGTAAACCAGTGAAAGATATTCCTCACCCATCTTGTCTCTAATATCCTGGGACTGGCACAGCTACCACTACACTGAATACTACCTGTCGCAAAAGAGACTGTAGGAGTAGCTCTCACGGGAGATTCAGCTCAGTCGATTTAGTTAAAGGCAGTGAGTGGGAAATTTACAGGGCCGTCCAGAGGATTCAGAGGGCCTGGGAAGGACCCCCTGCCGCGGGTCTTCAGGGCACTTCGGTGGCGGATCCGGAGCGGAAGGACCCCCCCGCTGCCGAATTGCCGCCGAAGACCCGGAGCGGAAGAAGCTCCGGGGGCCCGGGCGCCACAAGAGTTTTCCGGGGGCCCCGGAGCGAGTGAAGGACTCCGCTCCAGGGGCCCCGAAAAACTCTCATAATTGCTCCACTTGCCCCCCTCTCTGGGCGGCCCTGGAAATTTAAGGCAGGGCAGGGGTCTGTGTGATATTTTTATCATGTGCAATGGCTCTCAATGAAAATCTCAGGTCCATTCTTGCTGGCCAGGACTACACATTGTAATGGAAATTCCCAACATGAATCTGCAGTACCTGAGGGGCCTGCAGGAATGGAACTGACCTTTTCAGTAATACCAGTTGTAGAGACAATAAAAGAGGGGATATTCAGCTGCAAATTTTTAAAGGCACACTTAGATCACTTCATAGGAAATGGAGTATGCAATTTATTTTATCTTTGCAAACTCATTTTATTTTAGAGAGTTACAGTTAGGGAAGACAAAGATACTTGGAAAAAGAAATCACAAGTAAAGCAAAGGGAAGGACAGTGGTAGTCTCAAATACAGGTAATTTTTACCCCTTTTAAATATAAATTGATTGTATTCATTCTTCATATGTTGTTTTCTTTTCTGCCTATCTGACAATCACTGTACTCCACTTGGCAAAGTGCTTTGAGCCATAGATTAATGGGCCCTGTATTTTTACTATAGCTCTAAAGCCTTTTGTGAGCCTTTTTATACCTATATTTGTGTTACTTTACTTTCCCTTCCACACCAAGGCTCCACCAAGGGCCATCCCCACCCACTTTATGGGAAGAAGAGTAGCAGCCCCCTGGTGCTTGTTCTCCCAACAGCATTGTGACATGCCATGTGAATAACCTGCACAAGGAAGTAAGGGGGCTCTTTCTGCACCCCCTCCCAAATTCCTTGTGTGGGTATAGAGTCTGGCTTGTAGTCTTGTGCACAGTCTGATTTGAGAAAAGAATTGACTAGAACTAGATATGAGCCAAGGAAGTGAGGTTCAGTTCTGAATCAAAGTTAGGTTTAGGTTAGGTGTGACAGGGCTCCACTCACCATGCTGGTGCTTCCTGCTGTCCGTCTTGGGGATTAGCTCTGCAGGCTGGTACGCCCTCTCCAGATGGTGCCTTGCCTGCTGTCACTGCTCCTGGACCCATGTCACTCCAAGAACTGCAGTATCCTCTTCATGACACAGCCCTCCGGCCATGTCACAATGGGTGCTCCCCCATTCCAAGGGTAAGTGCTGCAGTCCAACTGTCCCACCATTTCCCCAGTGGCAACTGCAGCCAGCACCCTCTTTGCCCTTGCCTCAAGGACTCAGCCTGCAAATCCCAGCAGCCAGCCAGGAGCTCTCTCTAGCTCCCCCAGTCCCTGCTAGCAGCACTGCTCTGTCCAGGGTGCTAGCTTCTTTCTGTCTGCCTGCCAGGCACCCAGTTCTCCCTCCTTAAGCTCCAGGGAGTAACTGACTGCTCTGCCCTGCAGCTCTTCTTATATGAGTCTACCAGGCCCTGAATGGCTGTTCCTTTCAGCCCCTCTCTAATTGGCTGCCTCCTGCACAGCCTCCCTAGGGCTCTATTAATCCCTTAGAGGCCAGTGTTGGGCCATCACGCTACTGTTCTGGGTTTGTGCTTCAGGAAGAATCAAGGGTGGAAAAGGCCTGGGTTGGATTTAATGGTGCTGAAAAATTGAGTGAACTTAGATTTCCACCACTTTGGGCCTGACATCTAATGAAAACAGATGTTCCCTTATGTTTCAGTTAAATCTAAATGAGAATTCAAAATTGGTCTCTCTAGATTTGGAAACAACCAGGAATCAAAAGGCAGGTTCAGGTCCAGGTTTTCAAATCTGAACCCTAGGAAATTTGAAGGGGTTCAAATTCAAAATGCCAGTTTTGTACCATTTTTAAATAATACATGAATAAGACTTTTTGGTGGGTAAAGAACTTAGTTTTCCTTCTGAGTAGCGCTCATTTATGAACAGTAACTAACATGCTTTGGGTTTGATGTAATATTTTTACCACTTGTTTGATGCCTTGTCACAGTGCATTTGTAGTTGGCTGCAATGCTCTTATTATATCATCCACAAATCCTAAAGATGAGTATATTATCTAACATTATACTACTGCATATCTTGTTTCACTCTCTCTCATGCTCTGTGTTGCTTTATCTAGATTGTTGGTCACACTCTGTTTATGCCTGGATTTTGGTGCAGAAGGTTATAAAGCTTAGAGTTTCTAATGGATTAGCTCTGTTGCTGCTGCTGAGCAGTGCAAGCAAATCCAGCCAATGCCACTACAGCTCCTGAAGGAGCCATACTGCCACAGGGCATGGGGGCTAGTGGAGCAGAAACCATCCCCTAAATGTCTCTGATCTGAGTGGTATTGGGAAAATTCTATGAACAGAATTTTTCTCCCCACTCTTAGCCCTCTTCTTTGGGCTTTTCTGCTGCAGAGGGTGATTTCATCCAATAAATCCACTTTGTGTGTATGAATATGGGAGAAACATTAGGAAAAGTCCAGACATAGTGTAATAGTGGATGGAGTATAAATGCAATGGTCAAAGATGCAGCAAAGATGCAGTAAGTCCTATTTAGCATATGGATATCCCCTACATTATAGGCAGAGCTGGTAGCACTGCCTATTATTCAGGTTGCCCAAAGCATGTGATCATGTAATTAAAGACTGTCTTATAATGGAGACACGCAAGGGGGCAAATTAATGTTTCAGAGGGACAATCTTAATTCTGGCATTTTCTAACTTTTGAGTGCTTGCCTTTGCAACCCTTAATAATGTTCTTTTAACAGATTTTTGTGTGGTATATATCCATCCATTTAGACACAACTGTAGATCGGAGGTGTAATTCATAGTTTATCATATAGGTATCATCCTTTCCAGGATTTCACAGAGTGGCCAGGAGCAATGTATTGTGAGATACAATTTGCTAGAACTCCAAGCAGAAACAATTGACATGACCACCATTTGTTGGTCAATGTGTGCAGTTTGTAGCAGTGGACATGCTAGTCTTTGCCCTGAAGATAGGGATGAGATGTACATCCCTGCTTGCACTTTCTTGAGCACTATGGAGAGATTCTGCCTGGCAACCAAACCTGGAACAATGCTGCTTGTTCCAAGTTTGTGGGAGCCTGTAATTTTTTTCTCCCTTCAGGACTATTGCAAGTGAGGGTGGGATTTAGCACATATTTTGGAATATCAGGAAGTTCCTTCTTGGAATACAAATTATGGTACTGACATCTCTAAAGTATGTTACCTTCTAGACTCAGGCTTCAGCCTACAGACTACACAAGCCCAGAGATGCCTGAATATTTCATGTATTAGCACTAACAGTATAGATTTGGAGATCATCTTGCGTTTTCATCCAAAGGTTCCAATACCAAATACCTGGACTTAAGATGTGACTGATAACTATGGTCAGTCCTTTCAGGCTGCTCATTTATAGCTGGTGTTAACATGGATCTTGGCAACATACAGTCTGAAAACCGGATATCCTTGGATTTCTTGTGCCATGTTCTGATTGCAAGTGGGTAGACAAGCCAAGGATTTAGAAAAGGCTGATGCTTATTTGGGACTTATACCTTTGGAGCGTATTATGAATATAAGGAAAAAATGGCTAATAATAAGTTCAATGCTCATTATTGTATTGTGTAATACTGAAAATGTCAGTAAGGAGGACCTGTGCTTTTGGAAAGAGGAAGGCATTTGGTATTCCATTTTTAAACTAAATTATTACACTTTTAAAAATAAACCAAAATACTGTACGACTACCCATGCCTTAAATGTATTCTGATTGTCTTCAGAAACTTTTCCAAGGTTGAGGGGAATTCATGGATTCGGCAACTGTGGCATTCCCTTTTCCTCTGTTTCTCCCCTTCTCTACTTTTCCTTCATTAAATGACAAATTAATTCATTGTGCTTGCTTTTTTTCTTTATTTGGTAGTGGGGTAGCATGGTATAGTAATAGTACATGGTCTCATCAGTCACTGAAATTCATGCTGCCATACAGTTTGCATACATATAGTTTAAAAAGCATTAGCACGCTGAAGTGTTTTGCATATAAAAAATTATTCCAGCTAGGGGAACTAGATAACTTCATGGCTGGTTTTAGAATATAGAGCTTTTCACCCATAGTTCACTGGTTCAAATCGAGTCCGGAGGATTAAAATTCTTTAGGATTTGTTAGATGTTCAATGGCCCTTAGTAGCAGGTGAGGTAGTCTTAGTCTAGGATCTAGTAAACAGGTATCCACATCACAAAAAATATCATTACGATTTACATGAGTTGGAACCCGCCTATCTTGATTGACAGGCTCTGCAGACTAGCCATGGACAGGGGTATAGAAACTCTAGAAGGCCCACCTCACAGGAGTGGTGAAATGTGCACTGCTACTAGGTATGCTAGACATTCTCCGTACATAGGGTGATTTAATTTCAAGGCTCATCACTTTGGCACCTTTAATGAACAGTGAGATAAAATGCATTTTGAAAACTTGCTAACTGAAACATCATAATTGTTTGCTAAGAAAGCATACGAGAGCTTAAATTATAAAATCTCTAGTATTTCTTCTAGTTTTCTGAATGTTCTTTTTCAACAGCTTCCCAATTTTCTTTGAGTCTAATAATGTGGCTTTTATTTCAGACTAAAAGATTCCAATATAATGATAGAAGATCGATCCTATAAGTTGAGTCCCAAAGCAAAGAGGGCAAAGCAGAGTTTATTCTCTGAGGAGAAAGAAAATAAAGCCATTGACTATGTAGTACCAGTGTTCACAGGACGGTATGTTTGTTTTCCTTTCCCTTTTTCTTGGTATCCTTGTTTATTTATAAAATATTCCTTATGATAATAATTAATAATCCATCTCTTTTTTTATCTATCAACCTCAAAATGCTTTAAAAAAGGGGGGTTAGTTTTCTCCACTTTGCATATGGGGAAACACACAGAAGTTAAGTGTCTTGCCCCCGGTCACTGAATGTGTGAATGACAAAGCCTGGAAGGAAACTCAGGTATTCTGATTTAGTTTTGTGCCCTTGTTTCTGTGCACACCTTATTTCCTATGAGAAGGAAAGAGAGGAAGGACATTTAGCCATGAAACCTGGGCTTGATGCAGGAATTACTGGGTAAAATTCCCTGCAATAGGTCAGATTAGATCATCATCATGGTTTGTCTGGCTTTTCACATCTGTGAATCTGTGGTGAATTTGAAGGGTCAGGCACCCCACTTCCTAGAAATCTGAGAAACAAGTTTGTACACACAATTTTGTTGGCTTTTCTAGTTTAAATATTTTCTCTATAATTTAAATGTCTCTTATGAAGTCAGTGTTAAATATGGCAAAATTGAAAAAACTTGGTCATGTTTTGCCCTGGCACAGGAGAAAATGTTAACGATAAAACTAATTAAGATCTCAAGTCCAACATAATCAACTCTAATGCTCCCAGGTACTGGTGGTATTTATATCATGTCTGCTATTGACGTGATAAATTTCTGCTGCAGCAATGTCCTAAGTAAATCTGAATGTGAACTTTACATAGTAGCCAAAACCAAGGCAAACATGGAGACTTTCCTGGGATATGGCATAATGATTTATTATGAGATAATGACAGTCCAGGCATAGTCATTTGTTCAGGTTTATTCATACCAGGACATGTCATGGAAAACTAACTCGTGATTGGAGATCAGGAGAAAAGCCCATTTGTTGTCAATACACACCTCTGTTTAGCTTTTATGTCTCCTGCGAAGCTGTGCTTTTCACATGACATTTATGAAGTGTGAGAGACAAGGTAGATGAAGTAATATCTTTTATTGGATCAACTTCTGTTGGTGGAAGGGACAAGCTTTTGAGTTTCACAAGCTCTTCTTCAGGTCTGGAGAAGGAAACTAGAGTGTCCAAGCTAATACAAGGTGGGACAGATTAAGCATAAGGGGCTCACAAATATTGTAGGAGACCACATAAAATGAAGTAATTCATACTTCTACAGTTGTAGGACAATGGAGGGTCAGTGGGCAGCAGCACGTGTTATAAGTTGTTGCAAAGGGCCATAAAACCAATCTCTGTTAAATCTATGTTATTGTCCAGTGGAGTTATGAATTTAAGTTCCCAGACTCATCTGTTGAAGGTGTTGTGCAGGTTTCCTTTCAGGATGAGGATTGAGAGGTCAGATGTGGAATGGTTGCTATGTGAAAAGTGTTCCCCCAGGGGTGAAGGTGTGGAATTCAATGGTATCATGGGCTACTGCTGAATTTACACTTGTAAATTGTAGCACTTCTACTGTGTGTGTAACCTCATGCTTTTGTGCGGAATTCAAATTTTCATCTCGTTAGTGGGACACATTTGCTTTTGCCTTTTTAATACCCTGTTTTTGAGATGAGGCATCTCTAGCCCAGAGGTTTTCTTTCTTGTTCTATCCCCTCCCATTATCTCTAAATCCAAGAGCCATTTTTCTTTTACTCTTGCTACTCCTCCATGCCAGAGAGTCACTGCTCTTTAATTCAACTAAAATACAAAGATATATGCCCCCTACAAAACACTATTTTGGAGTTTTAAGTATGTCTCCCATGATGGAAATAGATAAATTTAAAATTTCATGCACAATTTGCAATAAATCTCCTTTAAGGCTACTTACAATTTATGGCACTGTGTGATTTAGGGCAGGTCTACACTAGAAGTGCTACATCGGCACAGCTGCACCGCTGTAGCATGTCTGGTGAAGACGCTCTAAGCCGCTGGGAGAGTGCTCTCCCATTGGCATAATTACTCCACCTCCACAAGAGGCGGAAGCTATGTAGGCGGGAGACACTCTCCCACCAACATAGTGCCGATGTGGACAGCGCTTAAGTTGCTGTAACTTGCGTCACTGAGGGGATGTCTTTTTCATACCCCTGAGCGATGCAAGTTAGATCGACTTCAGTCGTAGTGTAAACCTGTCCTCAGGTAACTGGGCTGTTTTAAAGAGTGTTGCATTTGCGATGTTCCATTAGCTGCTTCTCCTTACCTCCAAGACAAACATGTCTCCTTTTAGGTGTGCCTAACCTTTACAAATACAGGATTTATTCCTCCTTTTGGAAGGAAGTGTTGTCCAGCAACTGGATGACATTACTCCTGATTTGCTTTACTTTGCTTTGCTTTACTACTGGGTTGTGTGATTTGGGGCAAGTCACGGCCACTCTGTAATTCATTTTACTTGTTTGTAAAATTAGTATAATAGTACCTAACTCAGAAAGGAGCTGTGAAGCTTAATTAATTTCTGTCTGTACAGCACCTGGAAATCCTAAAATAAAAGGTGCTATAGAATTCCAAAATATTATCATCAGTACAATTATTATGCCTTATACTACTACCTATTGTCGACCCTATTTCCTGCACATGGCAACTCAGAATGTTGTGAATGCTTTTGGCCCATTTTGTTGGCCCGCACTGTGATTTTGAATTAGTTTAAGAGTTTTAAAAGGCATATGATGGTCATTAAGTGTCCAAGTAGGCATTTTATCACGTGTTTTGTTTTTGTGAATTTGTTGGCATCATATTGGTGTCTGTGTGCCAGGATTGTGGAAGTGATATGTTGCAATAGTGTCAAGTATTTATTCTTGTTTGAAGGATAATAGCCCAGACTCATTGAACCATGTGCATGTTATAAATCAGACCTAAATTCTCCTGTGAAACCAATCCACAGTTTCCCAGGCACAGATAGTTTGTACAAGGAGTAGGTACTTAAAAAGGGCAGCATTCTAGCCATTCTACAGTGCTAGTACATTGGCTGTGGTACTGTTTCAATAATGTTTCCATTATAACCCTCTGTTTTCAGGGGTTTCAAATTCTGCTGTAAAAATTCACTCACATGGAATACAAAGACTCAACTCATTATTATTTGTTCTTACACAGACAGAGTCAACATCAGCTTCTGTACAATTGCAGGGTATAAGTCAATGCAGAATTTGGTCCATGGAGGATAAAATTAGGGAAAACATGTTGCTGTTCTAGCATATAAAGCACCGAGTGCCCAATCCAACTACCACTGAAGCCGATGAGATCATTTCCACTAAAGTTAATTGAAACAGAATCTGGCTCATAGACAGGAACTCTGCACCCAACAACACATGTAAGCTGTAAACTTGTGGGTGCCATACACCGAGAACTGTTTTCCTGAAGAAAGTATTTTAAATATATAATTTTAGGCCTGAACCTGCAGTCTATACCCAGATAAAGTTCCCACTTATGTCAATGAGAGTTTTGACTTTATAAGGAATGCGGAATCAGGCCCTAAATGCTCTGTTGTTTTTGCTGTGATTCACCCTTTCAGGGAACACTGAATCCTGATCTTTGGCCTTGGCAGATAAGGAAAGGAAGAAAGCTGTAGATCTACACACTTGAGGCCCAATCCTGCAAGGTGCTAAGCCCCTATTTGGAGCTGAGGATGCTTATTATCTCACAGAAGCTGCTCAGCAGCTTGAGTATCAAATCCAAGTTCCATTAACGTTATGGTATCTTAAACATTTGAAGGGTGCTACCAAATTCATGGTCCATTTTGATCACTTTCATGGCCAGAGGGTTTTAAAATTGGTCAATTTCACATTTTCATCTGTTTACATCTGAAATTTCATGGTGTTGTAACCATGGGTATCCCAACCCAAAAGGTACCTTACAAGATTAAGATTTAGATGTGTGTTTTCACTTTCATTTGCTGGTATCCATTTCTAACTTTAACTCTTATACTTGAATTCGCTTAAATCCTATCTTCTTTTGTTAATAAACCTGTTTTATTTTTAATCTAAACCAATCCAGTGCTATGTTTAAACTGAACTGGTTGATAACTCCAATTAAAGTAGCAAACTGTTGAATATTACCTCCTTAGAGGGGCAACAAACCATAATATCCCTCTGATTTTTCCAGGACAGGGCGAGATATTTCAGAACACATATTTCTGGGAAAATTCAGGGCTGGGGAGATGTGGAGTCACCATACCAGTTGTTAACCACAGTTGGTGGAAATCTGTGGTATTGCAGGGAGGCACCAGGATCCAAAAAGCATTGGAGCAGGGCTGCCCAGTACATAGACAGAGTGCATGCTTGTTGCTGACTATGGGCATCCCACGAAGTGAGCTAGGGGCAAGGCATTGTGAGGCACTTGGGGTTACAGGGTAAGAGGTGACACAATGCTTCACTAATCTGGATTGCACACCTGAATGTGACAATATTACTAGATCTGATGTTGATTGTATCCTCCATTGTTGAATGCCTGAGGGGGATGCTGAAAAGAGAATAAAGTGTTTATGAAACACTAATAATCTTTTAAAATATTTTAAAGAACAAATGACTTTACCGACATTAAAGAATAAAGTGCTCGTTTGATTGCAGAGAGTTTTTCATAGTGCCTGGGACTGTTCTTTTTCATATAAATCAGAAGTGAGAACTTTGTTATACTGCTGTGTAATCTCCAGTTTGTGTTGTTATTATAAGTGCCACTGCTTCAAAACACTATTTGAAGTGTTATTGTGATCGCTCTATGGGTATATCTTACACTGTTCTTTATAGCCATGGAAATGTGAAAGTACAACAGGAAATGTATTAAAATGAAAACCTGCATGACACACTTGTAATAGAGAAATGCTCTGAAAATGGTAATGACCTTAGATAGCATGATATACTCAGTCATTGAGCTGTACCCTTCTGTGTATCTGTTGTTAATATGATATGAAATTGTTTCTTGGGTAATGATCCTTAAAGTAGAAATGCATTCTGAAGAGTCTAAGGCCCATTATTAAATCGAGAGGGCCAAGCTAAAATGAAGTGTTATAAATGAAATGTTTTCTCACCACTTTCCAGTGTGACTGTGCTTTTTTAATTCCTTCAGTCAAGTGTATGTCAGCGGGATTACAGATACAGAAGAGGAAAGAATTAAGGAAAGTGCTGCATACATTGCCAGAAGGAACCTCTTTGCTACAGGCGAAGGAATTAGTGCAACTAGAGTGGCCACTTCATCCTCTACAGAAGAGCAGCATGAAAAGAAGTCAAGGAAAGTAGCGATACGAGAGTCAGCTGAACGTCTGGCCCTGAAGAAAACGGTAATAAGACACAAATGAATCCATGGAGTGTAAGAACTTTGGGCCTGGGATTTTTTTTTTTTTTTTTTTTGCTTTTTGTTTGTACAGAGTCTGGCACAATGGGGCATGTCATGGCTGTCTAGCCAGCACCCAGCTCCCACTCTGCATACTTGCATCATGCCGGGGGCAGACAACAGTCAATGGGGAAGCAGCCTCTTAGTCCCGCCCCTAAATCCTTCCAACTCTTATGCAACTTTCCAACAGTTGAGCCTTTCACTAAGGTTCCCCTCAGCCCTGGGACCTGGCCCTGCCCACAGACCAGCATCCCCCAGCCCTGCGACCTGGCCCTGTCCATAGACAAGATCTGCCTCCCTTGGCACCTGGCCCCACCCACAGATGGCTGATTTTTGTGTGCCTTGGAGGTGGCATCGCTAGTAATTTTAGAAGACAATCTTGAAGCTGAAGAATATTGTCTGTCTAAGTAAGAAGGATATCTTAAGTATAATAATCTGGATTTTAAAATAAAAATAGCATTCTGCATATTGCCCTAGAAAAAGCTCTAAAACTTTCTTGGGGTGTGGAGCAGTAGTATACGTAAATGGTGAGTTTTATGATGAAATATTTCTGTTCTAGTTAGAAGAGACTGAGGAATTTCACAGAAAGCTGAATGAAGATAAACTTTTACACGCTCCTGAGTTTGTTATCAAGCCTCGTTCCCATACTGTCTGGGAGAAACAGAATGTCAAGTTACATTGTACTGTGACTGGCTGGCCAGAACCCCGTCTTACATGGTAGGCTTGTATCTTCATCAGCAATACTGTTCTTGATTGCAAATATGCATTCTGAATTGGTAAATTCTCAGGAAATCTATGTGGGCGACACTGAGGAAAGCGCAGTGTAGATATGTGATCAATGCAGAGCAGTGATGTAAAAAGCAAAGGCATTCATGAG